TGTCTCAGTACTGTACGATACCAGTCACCTCTGTGGAAACATTGGTATAACTGCCTTTTTTTATTTATATTTTGAGTGTTGTATGTCTTTTAAAAATGGACCTAGAGTCTCTTCAAATAAAGCTAATTTATAGTCCCTCACCTTTTGAACCACCCAAATTATATTTCAATGACATACCTTGTGTAACCATTTCCTCGCATGCCTCCCCGGTGAATGAAAAGTCTGTAAAACTAAGAAAAAGGTTGATTTATTGAAGTACTGTAAGTTTTCCTTTTGAGTCATATTTTGTCATTTATAACTGCTTTTGTTGTCCTGGCTTCACCATAGGCTGAGTACAGTGAGTGACACTCCTGTTGCTGTGGTTGACCACACGCTCGAGGGAGGTGTACTGCCTGGGGCGGAGGGATGTTCACCCCTCAGAAACTGGACTCGTTTAAAGGAGGCAGCAGTGCCCCAACATGTGTGTGCAGGGGGAGAGTCACTTTGCCGTGGTGACAGTGGAGAAGGAGCTGTACACCTGGGGCTGTGAGTATTACAGCATCACTCCGCGATAGATAGACTGGATCCTGTTGTGCTTTACTACAAGGAGCTTTCTCAAACTTGCCTTCAGGATGTTCAAAGTGGAGCGAAGATGGTGGGCCAGCTTGGACACGGAGACCAGGCCTCGTACCGGCAGCCGAAGAGGGTGGAGAAGCTGCAGGGGAAGGCCATCCGACAGGTGGCCTGCGGGGCTGACTTCACTGCCTGTATCACCGGTGAGTGAGAAAAAGAAGAACAAAAAATGGTCCTGTAAAGATGCACCTTTCCAACCTTCTGCTGCTGCTCCTGCAGATGAGGACGAGATGTACATGTTCGGGTCGGACTATTACGGCTGCATCGGAGTGGAGGGCGAGTTCGGCACGGAGATTTTGGAGCCAGTGCTTTTGGATTTTTTCGAGGAGAGGCCTGTGCGTCAGGTTTCATGTGGAGACAACCATGTGGTGGTCCTGACTCAGAGTGGGGACATCTACTCCTGGGGCTGCGGAGAGTACGGTACATAGAGTCTCTGTGTGAAGCTGATATAGTCTCTGCTATGGAGCTATAACTCTGACATTAACATTTGACAAGAAAAAATGTATTTGGCCAAGAAAAAGAAAACATTGGCACTGTAAACATTTTAACAGAAAAACTGACTCAGGAACATATTAATTCATATTAAACATTGATTACATTTAATTAAATTTTATATTTTGTTGCAATCTGATGCCGACCTTTCACATTTTATTTTTACAATACAAATCAAGAGTATAATTTAAAAACCAATAAACCAAAATAATCTCAAAATGAAATACTTTATGCGTGTTTTTCATTTTTCAATGGAGATTTTTTTCAGTTTTTTTCAGTTCCAATATATTAAGTCTCTGTTCTAGCTTCATATGCCACGTTGTTTTTGCTGTTATAGCAGTAGCCAGCAGGTGGAGATAGTGACCCCTTTAATATACAGTCATAAAAAAGTGTTCTCAGAATTGTTCTATTTTTCTTCTGTAGGGCGTCTTGGTCTGGAATGTGAGGATGACTTCTCATCTCCAATGCAGGTAAGATTTTATTTTCCTGTTCTGGTATATTCTTGACTGTCTGTCACCAGATTAAAAACCTTGCAGGAGTCAATAAGATAAAATAGTCTTATTTCTAGCTATTTATTTTTAAAAGTACCATCTGTTTTTTTGGTTTTCTCAGGTGGAGATCCCTAAAGGCGCCACCATCTCCTCGGTGTCATGTTCCACCGATGGAACCTTCTTTTTAACAGACACTGGCAAAGTCCTAGCGTGTGGAAACAATGAGTTCAACAAGCTGGGACTGAACCAGGGAATCTCTGGTCTCAAGAACCACACTGGAGAGGTAATGAGTTATACTTAAAGGACTGTAATAATAGTGGCTTTATGTGACAGCTAGGTTTATAAAAAGACCTTTCTGTAAACCACACAGGGTTACCAGGGGATACCGTACATCACCACGTTGACCCTGGTGAAGCAGCTGTCGAGGTTCAAGATCCACGCCATCTCTCCGGGGAAGACCCACACGGCTGCTATCGATGGTAAAAGAGGCAGATTTTCATCTTGCATGTGGAAATTGTAACCGTTTTCAAAGAACGATTATTTCACTAGATTTCTGGCTTTGCAGAACGTGGTCGTTTGATCACCTTCGGGTGCAACAAGTACGGACAGCTGGGTGTGAAAGACTTTAAGAAACATCAGGGAGTCCAACTCCTCCTCGGACCCTTTGGAGGCAAGACGGTGACCAAAGTGTCGTGTGGAGACGGCTTCACCATCGCAGCCACTGAGGGTAGGAGCATGTACGGTGCTGTGGTGCATCTGTAGCAATAACATGTGGACTTCATGTCAAGGTTTGTGGCACCTTTGTGTCTTTCAGGAGCTCCAGACCTTTTGTCCTGAGAATATGCCATACTGAATGTCATATTTTTTCATTTAAACATTCATTAAGGGTTAAGAATGATGTCTGCTGTCATATTTTTGAAGCCATCACCCTAAAAGAAAAAGATTGATGTTAATGTGGTTATGTAAAGTGATTTATTGTGTTGGTTTGCACCCCCTGAATAATACAGGTGTGCCTCCTCCCAGTGTGCGGAGAGCCAACAGCAGTGAATATGTTATGTTTGATATACCTGAAGACACAAATGTGGATTAGAGCAGTCTATTTAGTAGGAAGAAAAAAAAGAAATGATTTCATTTATCTTTCTTCAATACATTATGACTATTGGATTTGAGAATGCTCTGAAATTATTTGTTATGTTTGAAACTCAGAAGTATGAAACATTGCTTTAAGCCATCACTAGGGTTTAAATCCTGCAAATAGCATATTACAAATGTTAGTGTATCGTAATCTGTAGCTCCTACTTTGCAGAAACTCAAACGTTGATTTTAGATTTTGTGACAAGCCTCGAATAATTCTGTACAGCCCTTATCATCACCTGCTTTTGATTCTTGCAGACAATCATATCTTTGCCTGGGGAAACGCAGGAAACGGGCGCCTCGGGATGCCGGCTGATAAGGGCTTCGGTTCAGAGGTGTGCCCTTCCATGCCAAGGCCGATCTTTGGCTCCCTCCATCATGTGCCGGACCTCTCCTGCCGTGGCTGGCACACCATCATCATAATGGGTCAGTAATGAAAACCAGACACTTGCACATTGTACGGTCACCGGGAGCCAGCTGACTAATATATGTTCTCTTTTGCAGAGAAAGTGCTCAACTCCAAGACTATTCGCTCTAACAGCAGCGGTATATCAATTGGTAGTGGTAAATACTTTTCTTTGATCATTGATTTGTGTCTTTAAACATTCTTCTGCTTTAAAATTAAGTCTTCATTTTCACCTGCAAGTCTACATTGCTGATGTGCAAGTTTCAATGTATGTATAGGACTGGGCCAAGGGGCATCTACATCCACAGTGGATCTGGACATAGAACCTGGATCAGAGACAGAGTGTCGTGACCGGGGTCTTGGGGGAACACGGGAGGATAAAACAGAGGAGTGCTTCATGGAGACGTCGAAGATGTCACTAGCAAGTCAGAGTGGGGACAGCTCCTGCCCCCTCTGGCTCAGGAAGGTGAGTTATCAGGAAACCACAGAGGAATATGAATGGAATTCCCTGCATGGCGAGTCGTGGTGTTCTAATTCAGGGAGGTTTTCATCCAACAGGAGCTCGAGAACGCAGAGTTCATCCCCATCCCACTGGACTCTGAAGCATCCACTCCCGACCCGCTCTCTTCTGTCTCTGAGACCGTCACTCTACCTTACGAGGAGCTGAAAGAGCTGAAGGCAGCGGCAGCAGCAGTCAGCACAAAGAAGGAGCTATCGGTAACGCTAACAAAGCTGTTCTTTGCATTCATATGGACATGAATGGTGTACTCTAAATGAACACTTTCTGATACTGCTATTCACACTAGGGCTGAACGATATATCGTGTCATAACGATAACCGCGATATGCGCATGCGCGATATTCACATCGCAGGGACGTGCGATTTTATAAAAAAGAAATATTATTTATTTTATTTTTTTCCTTATTTTTTTTAGGAAGTGCGATATTAAGTAGGTAAATTAACTCAAACACGTCATGTTACAATTATTTTGCTGCTTGCGACAAAAGGAAAACTTGCGCGGCTCTCATGTCAGGGGTATTTGAGTGAGTGACATGCAGGCTCTGCATGCACAGCAAGCCACCAATCACAATCATTCTTGATCAGATCACAGCAGGCCCCGCCCCACTAGTTTGCAGACCATCAGAACACCGGTAAAAAATGAGAGGCACAGGAGGACAATACCGGCGAGAATTAAAATTTACTTCCAAAAAGAAAAGCAACATCTGCCATCTGGAACTACTTCTTCTTCTCTCCTTCATTCACAGATGAACCCCCTTATTTGAGGGTAAGCAACATGACATGTTAGATCATGACTTAAGGTATGATGAGTCAACCAGTTAAGATCCAGATGTCCGTGACTCAAATCCTTCATCCGGTTAATTACGCAATATATATCGCAGGGGGAAAAAATATCGCAATGTCAGTTTTTTTCAATATCGTGCAGCCCTAATTCACACTGCATTTTAAAACCCATCCACCTATTTCCAGACTAAACGAATGGGCTGTGATAAAGTCAACGGACTGGAGGAGGCTGACGTCTGCAAAAAAGGACAATCTGGTGCCTGCTGCGAAGCAAGTAGTGAAATCACACAGGTATCTTAATCTGTGTACTAAAAGACATGATCCACACTACATGCTTATTGTCACAGTATTTGACCGAGTTTATTCCGCAGCTGCAAGAGACGGTTGCTCGTCAGGATTTGAGGATCCAAATGCTGGAGAAGCAGGTGAGACGTTTTTCCCAAAAGTCACCTGTCCGTCTCATTTTGATCCGTGTTCATGAGTAACGGCGCGCGTTCCTTCTTCTAGGTCAACGAGCAGCGGAAGGAGAACGAAAGGCTTTGGGCAGCCATCAATCGCTCAACGCTACGGGAAGCAGGATGTGACAACAACGGAAACCATCCCTCTGACGCCCGGATGCCCGGGGATGGGGGGGAAAGAGGAGGCAGACTCACACACCATGGGGGCCGACCTGCAGGGGCCAGCGTGTGAGACTTCACCTGCAGATGCCCTGGTTATGGGAGCGTGTCAAAACTCTTATATCGAACCAAACAAGCTGGTTGGATGTGCAGTAGAGGGTGCAGCCTCCTGCCTGTTTGACAATGGTTACATACAGTATACATATTTCAAATGTAGTTGCATGATGACATTCTGTTACGTTATACTGTATAATGCCTTGCACACTTGTTCACCTGGGTGCAGTGATCTAGAACAGTTTCTCAACAAACTGAAATGTTGGCTGGGTTCACCAAGAAGCCCCTGAGAGAGGGTCATCATAGTGTTACTCTGCTTTGTGAAAGGAAAGTCGTTTTTTGATGGACTTTTAAGATGATGTCAGCATTGTTTATTCAGTCCTTAGTGCCTCACGTATATGCATTTAGGTAAGACAATCTCATGTGACTATGGAATAGTTTGTGAATGCATCCAAAGTTTAGAGTTTCCTCTTGTTAATTGTTAGTAGATTGGCTGCCGGGATGTTGTCCAGATTGATCATGTTGGCGCAATCATCCAATGTGAAAAAAAACCTTTTTTATGTATGACTTTATTCTTCATTACTGTACTTCCATTTGATCTTCTTAGAGAAGGTTAAAGTGCCAAAGACAAAAAGCCTCTAAAACTATTTTCCATATTTATCGGACATGTAAGCTATTACAAATATATTCAACTTATCTCATGCAAATATATACTTTTTTTAAATGTTCATGACTTATTAACATATGAAAGTATTTGTGTGAACACGTAACTACTGAATCATATTTTTAAGACACCTTTTATTTTTGCCTTCAACGCTTGAATTCTTGTGGGGCAGCACATGCACAACACTTGAAACGTTTTCTTTGAATGGTGAAACATTCATTATATAGCTCATTGCAGCTATAATGTCATTGTTTTTCTTATGCATTTTTAACCATTTTATCTGTCTTTGGTACTTTCTGAATTTATGTTTCACCATATTTTGAAATATTTGTGAAAGCAAATATGTATGTTTTTTGTGTGTGTTATAACAAAAAATGCAACAGTGCCTTAGAAAGCTATATAAACCAAAAGTTATTGCAGTTATGACAGTGTGTAGTGTGTTGGCAGCGTTTCATTTTTCTCAACAGTTAACCAAATATTATGGAGATGTAACAGTTGTATAAACTCTTTTCTTACAGGCACACTGTCTTTGTTTAAAATCCATAAATAAAACTAACACCTGTCTTTTATTCTGGTCTACTGTCAATATTTATACAAACCACAATACACCACACTAAACCTATTTGTTGATAGCAATATGCACTATTCTTGCAACAGTTCTGATTAGTATATTACATTTTTTTTAAGGCAATTAATAATTACAGTATGCTAACGGGTTGATTGGAACAATAATATAACCAATGAGTGACTTGAATTGCTGACACCTGCAGATTTCTTCTTTAAAGTCTCGGCTCATTTTGCCCATTTTGGTTTGGAAGTTCCAGTTGGGAGTCGACTTTCCTCCAGATTACTTATGTTTGTCTTGTGGGGATGCCGGATGGTTTTTTTCTTCAAAACCTGAAATAAAAAGACATCAAAAATACTAAATGTTTACTTAAATAATCAATTTACATTTCCAAAAATGCAACCAATAGCACCTCTCCATTAGACTCTATGTATATATGTAAATGCCTTCGAAACTCTCAACGTGTGTTTTGTAGTGTGGTCCTGTTAATTAAACTGGCCTACCTCTGGAATCTTTGTGTGGGTTTTCCAGTACTCCTCGATGGCGGATCCCTTAGTCCTGTGTACGTAGATGTTGAAGACTGTACGCTTCGATTGTTTCAGCTTAGTACAGATTTCGAGATGCTTCTGTAATCTTTCAACTGCAAACATTCTGTTGCAGACGCTGCAAGGGACTTGTCGGAGGCTGGTGTCTGTGCTCTCTTCCTGTCTGAGCTCCCCTTGCTCTGGTCTGCTGGAATGAGAGGGATGAGAAACTGGTGGAAGCAGTTGTCCCTCAGACACTTTTCTTTCTGCACCTCTGCTGTTTCCTGTTGCAGCCTTATGAGAACTTATGTGTTGACTACTTTGAGGCATATCTCGTTCATCTTCAGAGAGATACAGTTCCTTATATTTCCTTTCTCTTGACCAATCTTTATCTGATCTTTCTTGTGTTTTTACTGTTCCATCCTGAGACCTGACACCAGTCTTTCCCCAAATGGCTTCACCTTTTTCCTCCCCTCTTTTGCTTCCGGTATGCTCCTTCACATTTCCCCTAGTTGACTTGATAAACTCTCCACTCACTTCTTGCTCATGAACTGTGGTCTGATGAGTTCCTTTATGACTTTTTCTTTGTGACTGTGCAACTTCTTTTTCCCATCTGACCCTTTCTTCTTCATGTTTTATACTTATTCTGTCTTTGTTCCTCTGATCTTGCATCCTCCTTAGTTGTTTAACATCCTCCTGTCTTCTATCTTGCAACATAATTTCTCTTTCCACTGGTTCTCTCCTCTGCTGCTCAAACAGCCCACCTTTTGTCTGAACTTTTCCCCTCTCTGCTTGTCCCCTGTTGTTCCTCTGTTCCCTACTCTTTGGGTCCTCATGTGCAGCAGCGTATCTCTGGTATTTCTGTCTTACTTTTTCCTCAACGCTCCACAGCTTCTCCTGTAGCATTAGCTCTTTTTCATGAATTGCTCTGGCCATTTTCAGTTCTCCACTGGTCTCTATGTGCGAGTCTTTCCTTGTTTGCCGCGATCCAGTGGTTTTTCCGATGCCATCTGAATGGTATTTTGACGGAAACGAAGGGCCTTTTGGTTGTCCTGTCAGAGTTATTTTTTCAAAATCCTCCAGGTCAAGTGAGTCTTGTTTCCCTGGGTGGAGAGGTCTTCTGTGGCTAACAGGTTTGTTTGGAAACGGCTGGTCAACTCCATCTTTTCTCTTACCAGCTACACCATGTTGTGCTTGATAGACGCTGTCTTTTCTTTGTCCTTCCATTACTTTATTGGATGTCTTTGAGGTATTATTTGTATCATATAGATCTTGAGAAACTTGAGCCGTCCACACCTGTTTTTTTCAGTATAATTTCTAGGAAAAAGAAAAAAAAGGGAATGAAGTTAAAAGAAAAAAGTGTCACTGTTCATATAAAGTAAGAGCAGAGGTGAGTGTCTGCTATGAGGAAATCAGCAGATGATGATGTTTGTTGAAGAACACCGTGGGATACAGTCAAAACCTCCAGAATATGTTGTAAAAGTGAACATTGATTGGAGATATTTTTGTCGACTGTTAGTTTTACAACCTCTAAAACAAGCAAGAAAGTGGTTCTGGGTGGACAGTTCTACATTCTTTTTCACTCCATACCAGGAATAATGAGCAATACTAAGACAACCTTTGCAATATAAGAATAAACAAGAAAAACAATGCTAATAATTTGCCAGTTTTTGTTTTTCTTGAATAACATTTGTTTACCAAATTCTAGAGGTCAGCAAAAAAGAAACAAGCGTCTATCTACTTAAGTTTCCATCTGTGGTTGACACATGGAAACCCCAAAACCTGTCTAGTATTTTAAACACTTACTGGTATTTTGTATGTCGTCTGAATTCAAAGTGAAACTGAGTTTAGCTCACTACAAATAATCCGTAATATCTGTTGCGACTTCTCTCCCAAACGTTAACATTCGTTGCCTAGAAACCAAATGTCTCGGCTGTTTTCTGATTGGTCCACTAAACATCACTTCCGGAAGCAGAGCCCCGTATGTTTCAAAGTCGAGATCTTTCGGAGCCGGCTGGTGTATCACGGCATCCTAACAATATTCAGGTGAATTACATGACAGCCAGTGAGCCCTCTTGTAATAATAAAGGATAAAAGCTTAACGTTTTAATTGTTCAGGAGGCACATCGTTTGAACATACATACATTATGTTAGCATAGCTTGTCGCAGCTAAAACCTAGCCCCTGTGATGCATGATGGGTGCCTAATACACAACACAGTCACCTAAGTAGCTTTCTGTTTCTTTCTCCTTTTTTAGGTCCACTATGTGTAACGAAGACCTAATTTCAGTGGATTATGAAATTTTTGGCAGAGTGCAAGGTGTATTTTTTCGGAAATACACTCAAGTGAGTTTGACAGAGATATATGTTTATGTATAATAGAGTTAAGCTACATGTGAATAATCTACTTTCAATTAAAAATAAGACAACGTTAACTTACGTTTAATTCACTTGCTCTTTCTGGACCTTTTAACCCCATCTCAAGGTATTATTGATAGAATTAACCCAGTTTATTTTCAAAGTAGAAATCATGATAGAAATCTTCTGAAAAGCTATTATGTGGACCTTCAGTATTCATTCTCTGTATATTAAAGCATGAAAACACATTCTACTAGAAACCCAAAAAACAAGTATGAAACTAAAATGACCACAATATGTTTCTTATAAAATGTTTCATTTTCTAAGATGGAAATGTACAGTCTTTCTTTCTTTTTTTTACATAATACTTTCAGATATAAAACTCTAGACCAATCCTGGACAATGTATCTTACTAATATTCTTATTACAGCCATATTCTCCATCTGTAGCCTAGCCTGCACATGCTATTTTCTAATCCCCTGTGTTTCATTTTCCAGGCAGAAGGGAAGAAGCTTGGTCTGGTAGGATGGGTCCAAAACACAAGCGCAGGAACTGTTCAGGGCCAGCTACAAGGCCCATGCAGCAAGGTGAAGGAAATGAAAGAATGGCTGAAATCCACGGGGAGCCCCAAGTCACACATAACCAAGGCAGAGTTCAACAACGAGAAGACAGTCGACCGACTAGAACATTCATCTTTCAACATAGTAAAATAAGAACCTACAGATTCAGACTGTAACAATAACTTTGACAGATATTTTATTTAGTCTTTTTTGTATTAGTTATAATGTGGTTCATGTAATGAATTAAAAAAATGTGTCCATGTTATGTCTCCTTAACTTATAAGATATACGGAATTACATTGAATAAATGGAAAATTCCTTCAAACTCCTGCCCATTGTTTGGATGTTTTTGTGTGAACCGCAAGGGAATTTTTGATTAGAAGACCACTTTATTTTACATTCTGTTAATAGGCTAAACTGTAAATCTGTTTGAGGCAAATCAGAGTCGAGCAGAAACCCTGCTGGGAAAGCAGTAAATTGTATGACCTTAAAATCTGTCACCGCCGTCTTTATCGGCCTGTATCACGTTTGCATGTAAAATGACTAAATGCCTATCAGAATCCTAATTTCTTCCCCTAGAAAGAACTGAGCTATGGATATAGCTGTGGAAAAACACTGACAGAATAGCCAAAGATGTACAATTAGTTCATCCTCAATTTGTATAACAATAACACAAAAATACTCCTGATGAAATATATGACACAAACTATGGAGCTATTTCAGGGTCATAAGTTTTGATCATTCAAAAAAATACAATTTATTTGAAAGTTCAAGTTTTTATCCTGAACTTTGAAAAATACAATGTGTATTCAAAACAAAAAAAAAGTATTGGAAATAATTTTTCAGGTTGAATATTATTTTGATTCAGTTCAGCAATTTTTTTGAATAATATATTTATTTTCAGATTTCACTTTTATACATATTTTGATATTTGAATCCTTATTTTTTTCAGCACAGATTTTTCGTTTTCAGATTCAAAACAATTATTTTTTCAGTTTCAAATCTTGTTTTTTCAGGTTTCACATTGCTTTTCACCTTCAGATCGTTTTTCACTTTCAGATCTTTTTTTTTCGCTTTCAGATCTTTTTTTTTCGCTTTCAGTTCTTTTTTTCGCTTTCAAACTTTGGCCCTGATATTGCTTCGGGGGCGGGCTTACCAAAAAGTAGTTGGCATCCTGAGTGACAGGCCTCCCTCTGTCATGTTGCCTTCATGGATGTTAGAAAACTAAGACCAGCGTCAAAGTTCCGTTGAGCGAGCTGTTGAGCATCGTAGTTGGCAACAATCAAGTACAAATACACTGTGTTAGAATGCGAAATTACGTATCTGCAACGAGCCAGCAGGTTGTTCTGGTTGACCTTACGC